GGGCGGCGGCGGGCCTCGCCCGGGCCGAGAGCGCCGGCGTCCGTTCCCCGCGCGAGCTGCGTTGCAGCGGGGAGAACCCCGGCCTGGGAAGAGTAGGCGCCGGAGGTTATGGGGCACTTACTCCGCCCCAGGTCCCACCGCCCACCGCCGGTGGTGCGGGGATCCCCACTGCCCTGCGCGGCCGGACCACAGAGCCCAGAGTCCGTCACCTGCACCCTGGCGCGGGCTCCCGGGGCGCCCCCGGCCGCGCATCTCCAGCGCAGCCTGCGCGCGGGGGGCGCTTTGGGTTAAGCACGCGGGTCGCCGTACGTGATGCGGGGCGACCGTCGTAGCCCTCGGGGCCGTCAGTGTTACTGTGTGCGTAGTGGGCACGTGCATTTTTTCCCACGGTCCCCGCGTTTGCAAACACTAGATACTTTGTGTCTTTATGTCAGTGCCGCTTTAGAGTAGCTAAGACGGTGCCTGAGTGCAGGCTTCTGGAAGCCTGCAAAGGAGGCCCATGGGTCAGAGGCTTTTTTTTTTCCTGAGTAGCATCATCTAACCTTGAGAGTTTTCTGGATGTTCAAGAGGAAAAGGGTGATTCCAGATTTATGGATGGAGAAAGTTAAGAGGAGAGGAAGGAAGTTTGGCTTCTCAGGACCTAGACATAGTGTGTATGGACCTGAGAGAAAGGGCAACTGCGGGGTAGGCAGTGCTTTCAAATGCAGTGTCTTTTTTTTTTTTTTAACTCGTGGGATTTTTCTTAATTCAATTTGTCGGTGTGACACTGGTTAATAAAATTATATAGGTTTCTCATGTACAATTCTACGCAATCTGTATATTGCATTGTGTGCTCACCACCCAAGTCAAGTCTCCTTCCATCACCATGAATCCCCCTTTACCCCCTTCTGCCTCCCTNCAATCTGTATATTGCATTGTGTGCTCACCACCCCCCAAGTCAAGTCTCCTTCCATCACCATGAATCCCCCTTTACCCCCTTCTGCCTCCCTCCACCCCCCTTTCCCTGTGGTAACACCTTACTGCGTCTATGAGGGTTTTTTCCTTTGCTCAATCAAATTCACCCTTAAACCTAAAACTATACAGACTGTAGTAGGACAAAGGCCTACAGAGCACCTAGCCCAACCACACTTTCCTAAAGTATGGAAAAGGCCCAAAGACCCAGGGTGGCTTGGACACATCTTCAGTGCCAGAACCGGTATTAACAAGCAGTTTTTTCCGAGTGTCGGTCCTTGTCTGTTTCCTCACATTTTCTGTTGAGTTTGTTGTGGCTGCAAGATGACAGCAAGCAATGCCCATGAAATCCTTTGGAGTGCATGTTGGAAGTTGAGAGGAAAAAATAAAGCTTGAGATCATGATCTGAATCATCTACAGTGGATGCTCTCTCCTACTTGTTAACAACTCGGTGTGCTTCAGATTGCGCGCAGTTACGTTCAGCTTCGTTTTTCTCTCTGCGTTTGGGTGCATGCTCGTGATTCCAGGGCCAATTCTGAATGTGCGCATGTGTCTTTCACAGGTTCTGCCTTTTATATACCGAGCCATTGGCTCAAAACATCTTCCTGACGGTAATATAAGTTTCGTGCATTTTGATTCACATCCAGATCTCCTTATTCCTGTGAATATGCCAGCTGACACTGTGTTTGATAAGGAAACTCTTTTCGGGTAATAAGTGATTTTATTAATGATCTTTTATGTACTTGAAATACAATTCGCAGTAGATGATAAGTAATTAAGGGAAATAGACTTTGTTAAGCTCATGAATTTGTTGTTTGCCCTTTTATATTTTATTTAGAGCAAGTGTTGACAGACTTTTTCTTTAAGAGCCAGGTAGTAGATACTTTAGGCTAGCTGGCCGTAATAATGGTCTCTGTTGCAACTACTTATCTCTGCCCTTGCCGTTTGAAAGCAGCTATAGACACTATGTAAACAAATGGCTGTGGTTTTGTGCCAATAAAACTTGATTTACAAAGACAGGTGCCCCAGCCAGTGTTTGCCAACCTCTGCTTTAAAATGCAGAATTTTAGAAATAGAAGACACTTGCTAAGTTATCTGAGCCAGTTCTCCCTTCCTCTCTGCTTTAAAAGTCTGGATACTGAGGCACAAGAAAATGTGCAATAATTTAATTTGTATATCTTGTCTTCCAGTATTGAGTTTTTCCAACCTCCCAACTTGTTTCTTTTCAGGTCACAAATCCTACTGATTTTCAGTTATATAGAATCATAGAGATGGAAGGGAAATTGGTAATTTGTGCTCTAGTCTTCAGGAAGGATCATAACTAATGTGTCTCTAAATAAAAACTTAGTAGTCTTTCTTCTGAAAGAAGGTCCCCTGAAGTTCTGTTGCTGTCTCTTTATGTACATATTTGTTAGACTGTAGCCTACTTGTACAATATTAAAGTTACATAGCAGTAATTTTCCTGTTTTAATATAAAGTTAAAACAGAGATGCTTGTGTAAATTCACTTTAGCCTACTACATTTGACTTTTTCCAAAACCCCACTTTAGACACTAGTTTTTGAAGAAACAGGGTAGCTCTGTCATTGTCCTTACTTTACTCTCTTTTGTATTTAGAGGTTTTATGGTTTAGAAATTGAAAAGAATTATGAAGCTGGAAATCAGACTGTACAGTTAGTTATACAATAATAGTTCTTAAATGTTTTAGTCTCAGGATTCCTGTATACCTTTAAAAGTTATTGAGCTTTTTCTTTAATGTGGGTTATAGCTATTGATATGTACCATATTTGAAATTAAAACTGAGAAGTGTTTAAACTATTAATTTCAAAATAACAATAGACCTTTATATGTTAGCATAAACAAGATATTTTTATGAAACACAAATATATTTTCTGAAGCAAAAAGTATCTAGTGAGAAGAGTAACAATGTTTAAATTTTTGTAAATCTCTTTGTTTGCTTCATAGAAAACAGATGGATTCTCGTATCTGCTTTGGCATTCTNTATCTAGTGAGAAGAGTAACAATGTTTAAATTTTTGTAAATCTCTTTAATGTTTGCTTCATAGAAAACAGATGGATTCTCGTATCTGCTTTGGCATTCTGTCTGTTGCCGTTTGTTGTTTTGGTGGAAGTATATGAAAAAAATTCACAAAGAGAATTTTCTTAGCCTTTTCAGATAATTGTGAATATTCTTTAGTACTATACGGACACATAACAAGTGGTAGTTTAAAGCTTAGCTAGACTATAGAATCCAACAATCTCAGATTCAAGTGTGAATAACCATGGTTTAACAGTCAGCCTTTCTTTCAAGAAAAATGGTGTTTAGTTTGCAATTCAATCACAGGTGCTTTTCCTTGAGCCAGCCATGTGCTTCAAAGTGTGTAGCAGAAGTACTTTCTGTCACTCCTCATTTTGCCACACGGAATATTTTTAAATGTATATTTGGGATCAAGGTTTAATCATGACAGACATTCTCACTGAAACTGCTTTGGTGGGATGGGGGAGGGTTAGTGCTTGGTAGTGAAGACTACAGTGACTACTAGTAGAGTTTGGTGCCATTGCCTTGATTAATCTTAGGACATCAGCCCACCATTGCTTTGCACTATGTGTACAAAGATCAATACCATGCAAAGGGGAAATGATGCCTTAGTGTTTTAGGAAAATTGTTTTTAACTAGTGGTCATAGGAAGGGTCTCAGGAATCTCCCAATGGTCCCTCAGAACACACTTTGAGACCTGCTGTCTTAAAATACTATTGTGAATGAAATTACATTTGGAAAAAAGTCACTCACTAATAGTTTTCACTCTTCCTCTTTGTTCCTTTTCCAGAGAATTAAGTATTGAGAATTGGATTATGCCTGCAGTTTATGCTGGCCATTTTTCTCATGTAGTATGGCTTCATCCCGCGTGGGCTCAGCAAATCAGAGAGGGTACACATCACTTTTTAGTAGGCAAAGACATCTCTACCACAACAATCAGGTAATTTCCTCATGTTTGTGAGTACGAAAGGATCGAATGCCGCTTCTATCTTATTTTGGATTCCTGTAATAATTTATAAGTATCTCTATACACATACAGAGTCAGATTAAGCTCAGCTCTTCCAAAAAGAGTTCTCAGAACACCAGGAACAAGTTTTCAAGTCTCTTACCTTCCTCACACACCATTTACATTTTGTTGCCAGCTTGCCAAGTTTCTCTGTTTGTTTTGTTTTCTCCAATCCTCACCCAAGGATGTGTTTGTTTGTTTTATTGATTTTGAGAGAGAGAGGAAGGAGGAAAGAGAGAGAGAAAGGAAACATCTGCGAGTCACCTCCCTCAGGTGCCTTGACCGGGGATACCGAGGATCCAGCCTGTAACCCAGGTAGGTGCCCTGACCAGGAATCGAACCCTCCACCTTCTGCTGTGTGGGGTGACGTTCCAGGCAACGGAGCCGCCCAACCGGGGCACCGCGTTTGTTTCTGAGTAATATGATCTTTATCATCTGGTATTCTGGCTCCATTGATGACTGACTCTATTAAATCATTGAAGCACTTTTTATTTATTTATTTATTTATTTATTTATTAAATATATCTTGATTTCAGAGAGAGGAAAGGAGAGGGAGAGAGAGAGAGATAGAAACATCAATGATGAGAGAGTCATTGATCGAGCCTGCAACCCAGGCATGTGCCCTGACCGGGAATCGAACCCCGATCGCCTGGATCCTAGATCCTTGCTCAACCACTGAGCCACATCCGGCCAGGCTGAAGTACTGTTTTGATTTATACATTTAATGATACATTTACTATTTTTTTCTAGTATAACTATGGTCTGATGAATGGAGCAATTAGCAGTGAAAAAGCAAAATTATCTCTTTTTTTTTTTAAATTCAGTGGCTAAAAAGTAGATTTGGGGTTTTAACTTTATTAATATGATTAGCTTTAGATAATCTAAATTAAATTGCAGAGTTTTCTGACTTGGCTTACATGTGCAACTATTTTTGTTGTAGAAGCATGTAACCAATGTTCTGTGCATCTTCTAAAGTCTCTTGTGATGGGATGAATGTTTTAAGTAGTGGAACTATAACTGTCTATAACCTGAAGGGAAGTGGGATTAATGGTACTGCAATGAAAACGAAGTAATCTTTCTCATTGAATGTGATACCTTTTACTTCTGACTTATCCTTCATGATACAATTAACTTGTGTTGCATATGCTTATCAATTACACAAATAACTTAATTGTGTATGCATAAAATTGTATTTATTGAGCATATAATACTAAATAAGCAGGGTTCCTCATATAATAAATATTATACATAATACTAGTGTATGTGAAAGTGTGGGAGGGTTTTTATTGAGCACGTCAGTGCGTAGGCCTCCTTTAACCCGAAACAGACATTTGAAATTCAGTGTATAATAATATTAGGAAGATTTTGATTATCTCATGATTTTAATCCTGCAAGTAAAAATTTTTGGAAGAGACTCACATACATGTAGGTACACAGTCTGAAATGTGTGTGTTTGTACTGATACAAACAAAGGAAAACATCCATTATTACAGCAGAATACAAATTTAGGTTAAGTGATAGAGCCTTTGTCTTTCTTAGGATGGTACAATTTTTAATAAGCCTGGACATTAGTTTTATTGTGTCATTAATCTTTTTTGGGCAAGTTACATCTTTTTAAATTTAAGACTGTATATTTTTTAGTAGAATGGGTAGGAAATAATGACTATTCTTTTAGTTGGATAGAGCCTACCTCTAGAAGAAGCATTTGGTTTCACTGTTCGTAATACTTACCAAGGCTTAATATAGTTAAAAAGCTAAGATCGTGCCACTATTCTGAAATTAGAAACCTGCAACTTGTGAAATCCGCTCTGTACGCGTATAAGGTTTTCTAAAAGTTGCTTTTTATATTAAAACATGATTATATCAAGTTTAACGAAGCTTTGAAATACATCGGAGGGAGCTTCTATTAAATTATTTCCAGAGGTAANTTTTCTGAAGCAAAAAGAATCTAGTGAGAAGAGTAACAATGTTTAAATTTTTGTAAATCTCTTTGTTTGCTTCATAGAAAACAGATGGATTCTCGTATCTGCTTTGGCATTCTGTCTGTTGCCGTTTGTTGTTTTGGTGGAAGTATATGAAAAAAATTCACAAAGAGAATTTTCTTAGCCTTTTCAGATAATTGTGAATATTCTTTAGTACTATACGGACACATAACAAGTGGTAGTTTAAAGCTTAGCTAGACTATAGAATCCAACAATCTCAGATTCAAGTGTGAATAACCATGGTTTAACAGTCAGCCTTTCTTTCAAGAAAAATGGTGTTTAGTTTGCAATTCAATCACAGGTGCTTTTCCTTGAGCCAGCCATGTGCTTCAAAGTGTGTAGCAGAAGTACTTTCTGTCACTCCTCATTTTGCCACACGGAATATTTTTAAATGTATATTTGGGATCAAGGTTTAATCATGACAGACATTCTCACTGAAACTGCTTTGGTGGGATGGGGGAGGGTTAGTGCTTGGTAGTGAAGACTACAGTGACTACTAGTAGAGTTTGGTGCCATTGCCTTGATTAATCTTAGGACATCAGCCCACCATTGCTTTGCACTATGTGTACAAAGATCAATACCATGCAAAGGGGAAATGATGCCTTAGTGTTTTAGGAAAATTGTTTTTAACTAGTGGTCATAGGAAGGGTCTCAGGAATCTCCCAATGGTCCCTCAGAACACACTTTGAGACCTGCTGTCTTAAAATACTATTGTGAATGAAATTACATTTGGAAAAAAGTCACTCACTAATAGTTTTCACTCTTCCTCTTTGTTCCTTTTCCAGAGAATTAAGTATTGAGAATTGGATTATGCCTGCAGTTTATGCTGGCCATTTTTCTCATGTAGTATGGCTTCATCCCGCGTGGGCTCAGCAAATCAGAGAGGGTACACATCACTTTTTAGTAGGCAAAGACATCTCTACCACAACAATCAGGTAATTTCCTCATGTTTGTGAGTACGAAAGGATTGAATGCCGCTTCTATCTTATTTTGGATTCCTGTAATAATTTATAAGTATCTCTATACACATACAGAGTCAGATTAAGCTCAGCTCTTCCAAAAAGAGTTCTCAGAACACCAGGAACAAGTTTTCAAGTCTCTTACCTTCCTCACACACCATTTACATTTTGTTGCCAGCTTGCCAAGTTTCTCTGTTTGTTTTGTTTTCTCCAATCCTCACCCAAGGATGTGTTTGTTTGTTTTATTGATTTTGAGAGAGAGAGGAAGGAGGAAAGAGAGAGAGAAAGGAAACATCTGCGAGTCACCTCCCTCAGGTGCCTTGACCGGGGATACCGAGGATCCAGCCTGTAACCCAGGTAGGTGCCCTGACCAGGAATCGAACCCTCCACCTTCTGCTGTGTGGGGTGACGTTCCAGGCAACGGAGCCGCCCAACCGGGGCACCGCGTTTGTTTCTGAGTAATATGATCTTTATCATCTGGTATTCTGGCTCCATTGATGACTGACTCTATTAAATCATTGAAGCACTTTTTATTTATTTATTTATTTATTTATTTATTAAATATATCTTGATTTCAGAGAGAGGAAAGGAGAGGGAGAGAGAGAGAGATAGAAACATCAATGATGAGAGAGTCATTGATCGAGCCTGCAACCCAGGCATGTGCCCTGACCGGGAATCGAACCCCGATCGCCTGGATCCTAGATCCTTGCTCAACCACTGAGCCACATCCGGCCAGGCTGAAGTACTGTTTTGATTTATACATTTAATGATACATTTACTATTTTTTTCTAGTATAACTATGGTCTGATGAATGGAGCAATTAGCAGTGAAAAAGCAAAATTATCTCTTTTTTTTTTTAAATTCAGTGGCTAAAAAGTAGATTTGGGGTTTTAACTTTATTAATATGATTAGCTTTAGATAATCTAAATTAACTTGCAAAGTTTTCTGACTTGGCTTACATGTGCAACTATTTTTGTTGTAGAAGCATGTAACCAATGTTCTGTGCATCTTCTAAAGTCTCTTGTGATGGGATGAATGTTTTAAGTAGTGGAACTATAACTGTCTATAACCTGAAGGGAAGTGGGATTAATGGTACTGCAATGAAAACGAAGTAATCTTTCTCATTGAATGTGATACCTTTTACTTCTGACTTATCCTTCATGATACAATTAACTTGTGTTGCATATGCTTATCAATTACACAAATAACTTAATTGTGTATGCATAAAATTGTATTTATTGAGCATATAATACTAAATAAGCAGGGTTCCTCATATAATAAATATTATACATAATACTAGTGTATGTGAAAGTGTGGGAGGGTTTTTATTGAGCACGTCAGTGCGTAGGCCTCCTTTAACCCGAAACAGACATTTGAAATTCAGTGTATAATAATATTAGGAAGATTTTGATTATCTCATGATTTTAATCCTGCAAGTAAAAATTTTTGGAAGAGACTCACATACATGTAGGTACACAGTCTGAAATGTGTGTGTTTGTACTGATACAAACAAAGGAAAACATCCATTATTACAGCAGAATACAAATTTAGGTTAAGTGATAGAGCCTTTGTCTTTCTTAGGATGGTACAATTTTTAATAAGCCTGGACATTAGTTTTATTGTGTCATTAATCTTTTTTGGGCAAGTTACATCTTTTTAAATTTAAGACTGTATATTTTTTAGTAGAATGGGTAGGAAATAATGACTATTCTTTTAGTTGGATAGAGCCTACCTCTAGAAGAAGCATTTGGTTTCACTGTTCGTAATACTTACCAAGGCTTAATATAGTTAAAAAGCTAAGATCGTGCCACTATTCTGAAATTAGAAACCTGCAACTTGTGAAATCCGCTCTGTACGCGTATAAGGTTTTCTAAAAGTTGCTTTTTATATTAAAACATGATTATATCAAGTTTAACGAAGCTTTGAAATACATCGGAGGGAGCTTCTATTAAATTATTTCCAGAGGTAAGTGATTTTTTTGGATAAAGTTTCAGCTGTTATGAGGGAAAGCCAAAGCACTGGCTTAAACGTTTATTTCTTTCTCATATGAGTTTACCGCATACAGCCCAGGGCCTGTGTNTTTAAGTGATTTTTTTGGATAAAGTTTCAACTGTTATGAGGGAAAGCCAAAGCACTGGCTTAAACAGGATTGTTTATTTCTTTCTCATATGAGTTTACCGCATACAGCCCAGGGCCTGTGTGGCAGCTCTGTCATTTCGGTCACCCCAGTTCCTTCTACCTTTGTGCTCCATCATCCCTAGAACACTGCCTTTGTCCTCGTAGTCCTGGGCGGGCTTGCCCCTTCCCTGTCACACACCGTCGGTGAGAAGGGGAGAACGAGTCAGATGGCCACAGCTAGCTACAAGACAGGCTACGATATGGTCGTTACTTTGGGCAGTTGTGTGCCAGCTAAAAACTGGGGGGATGCTATTTCTGCAGAAGAACAAATACCAGAGACAGCCCTCAGTTTTGTCTAACATGTCCTTTCTCAGAGTTTTGCAATGCGGTGGAAATGCTGTATGAAATGTGAGCTAATTTGTCCATTCGTCTTTAAAATAGTTCTTTCCTCTGATGCAGGGTTACGAGTACAGACCATTACTTCCTAAGTGATGGTCTTTATGTAACTGAGGATCAGCTAGAGAACCAAAAACCTTTGCAGTTGGATGTAATTATGGTAAAACCATATAAACTCTGTAACAATCAAGAAGAAAGCGATGCAGTGTCTTCTGCTAAGAAACCAAAGCTAGCACGGGAAGGCTCAGAAGACACTGCCTCCACTCACTGTGACTCTTGTTCAGAAGGGTGGGAAACGGACACAGTGGCACAGAGAGGGGTCCGCAGTGGCCTGGAACCGTCGTGTTCACATTCTTCCGAAAGCCAGGAACCCCAGACCACAGTCAGCGCTGGAGGAGTCCTGGGCACTTTGAAGAAAGGAGATGCGTTTGTCTTAGATATTGACTTGGATTTTTTTTCAGTCAAGAATCCCTTCAAAGAAATGTTCACTCAGGTAAATGTGGGATTTTTAAAACATGGGTCTTGAGAATTATAGGGCATTTCTCTAGATCAGAGATGAGCAAACTTTCTGCAAACAGCCAGGGGGTCCCACATGCCTCTGCCACATGGTCTTGTTCTTTTAGACCCTTTAAGATTGTATATACCATTCATCACCCGAGCCCCACACAAAAACAGATCCCTGCTCTAGGTGGTATTAACTGGGGTAATGTGTACATGAGTGGTTAAAAAAACACAAAGTCATAGACTAGAAGAAAGCGTGTACCTTAAAGAACGTCACTTCCTTTACCCCATCTCCATCCCTCAGATTCTTAACTCAGAAACATACTACGGCNGTCCCTGCTCTAGGTGGTATTTATTAACTGGGGTAATGTGTACATGAGTGGTTGAAAAAAAAACAAAGTCATAGACTAGAAGAAAGTGTGTACGTTAAAGAACGTCACTTCTTTTACCCCATCTCCATCCCTCAGATTCTTAACTCAGAAACATACTACGGCCAGTTTTTTATGGTATCTTTCCGGAGATNCCAGTTTTTTATGGTATCTTTCTGGAGATATTCTATGTCTGTAAAACCCTGTGTGACAAATTTTTCAGTGAACATTAAGGTGCTTAATACACGTGTACTATTTGTGGCTAATCACGGAGGCCCATGATCCTCAGGATACCTCAGCAGGTCTCAAATGCAAGTCACCAGACAGGGTCAGTATGCACAGATCTGGAATAGAATCATGCATTTGGGAAACCGATGGATTCATTGTCCAAAAGAACATTCCTGGTACATTTTATAGACACGTATGTCAGCTTACCTTAGCATTCCAGAGGGATTCCNCGTCCAAATGAACATTCCTAGGTGCATTTTATAGACACGTATGTCAGCTTACCTTAGCATTCCAGAGGGATTCCAGAGGGATTCAAATTAACTGTCTTTTTTCTAAGTTCAGTATTTGATTTATATTGATGATGCTGCACCTTACAGTCTTTATTCTGTATACATATCAGAAGCCACTGTGATTTATCTAAATAACTAAAAGCCTCTACTTGTCACGCCCAGATGGATGGAGCCACCCTGAAGAAATGATAGTGAATAATTATTTTCTAATATATGGATTTTTTCATTTTGTTTTTAGGAGGAGTACAAGATCTTGCAAGAGCTGTACCAATTTAAAAAGCCTGGCACCAACCTGACAGAGGTATCCTCCATTTATTTCTCTTGGATTTTATCTATTTATCACACATCTAATAATACAGTTTATTATAGGTGCTCTCAAACAACTATCCAAAATCTTTTGTGTGTGTGTTTATTGGGGAAGTCTGTGATTAGTACTTGAAAGTCATATTTTAACTAATTGAACTGAGATTTTTATTTTTATTTTCCAAAGTAGGATATTTTCTTAACTTTATTTTTATTGAATTTATTGGGGCGACATTGGTTAATAAGACCCTGCAGGTTTCAAGGGCACAGCACCATAAAACGTCACTGGCACACTGCATGCTCTCACTACCCAAAGTCAAGTCGCTTCCCCCACTTCTACTCCTCCCCCCGCCCCCTTCACTTGTTTTTTGAAAGAATAACTACAATCTCGGCTTTTCTATGCATTTAAAGGAAGATCTAGTAGATTGTGTTGATGCTCGAATTCACCAATTAGAAGATTTAGAAGCTACTTTTGCTGATTTGTGTGATGCTGATGATGAAGAAACTGTACAGAAATGGGCTTCAAACCCTGGGTAAGACCCTCAAACATTTTTTCTCCAGCTCAACTATATTTCAGTCCTAGATATATTGCTAGATTTACTAAATTGCTTTTAAAAATTAGTATTAAATTTCAACACAGATTTACTAACACTAGTTAACATTTATTATTTTCTGTGTGCCCAATATAATTCTAATTCTAAAATTGTCTCTTGCATTATCTCATTTATTCCTTATAATAGTTTTATGGCTTCACTATTATTGCCATTTTATAGGTTCAGTCCCCCCAAGTCCCATAGTAAGAGGGTGTGCCTTTGGTCATTGTGTGGCAGCTCCCCTTCTGTATGTGCTGTGGTAGGTTTCACGTAAGATTAAAGATAGGTAAGAGTCCCTATTCTGAAGTTAACCTATCAATAGAAAAGTAAGTTACTAGACTGGTAAGTTATAATGTGAAAACTTGCCTCGTTTTAAGGATAGCCCAGTATTTTCAGGCTGCCCATAGCATCAAGGAGCAAGATTGAAAGCTGGGTGTTTCTTCGGGTTATTTATCCAGGCAGTTCTCTCGGTGTTGACCAACCTCGAAAATAGGGAGAGAAAGTTTCTTTGAGTGTGATCGTCTGTTGATTTGGGGGTGCGGTGAAGAATGCCTTTAGTATTAATGCCTATTTGAAAGAATAGTATCATAAATGGTATAATTACCTTTCTCTAAAATAAATCTTTAAGTTATATAAACTCCAAAGACCAGGTAACTAAAATAAAACTATCAGACATACACTTTTTGTCCCCATGAGCACAGAAGACCAGAATTAGCTTATTTTCAAACAGATCTCCCCCACACACAGACTGTTCTCCACAGGGGAGATGAGGGAAATCAGTCATAAAGTAGCGACAAAAAACAGTTCAAATTACAGTACTTCGAGCCACTAAGATTTGTTACATAACAGTTATTGAAAATAATTCAACAGCTATCTGGAAGAATCCAGAAAAAACTAGAAGAGCAGTTACCTCTGGGGAGAGGAATAGTGGCCGAAGGGTGAAGTTCGTGAGGGAGAGATGCCTGCCTTTGCTCTGTATTACATATTCAAAATATTCAGTGCAACTTTTTATTTAAAAATATTCAGAAACATCCTTGAAATACAAATACATAAAATGTTATTTAATCACTAAGGAAAGCTTTGGTTTGGAAGAATAAACCGTAATAGCCCGGCCGGGCGTGGCTCAGCGGTTGAGCGTCGCCCTAGGATCCAGGCGATCAGGATTCGGTTCCCGGTCAGGGCACATGCCCGGGTTGCGGGCTGCAGCCGATCAATGACTCTCTCATCATTGAGGTTTCTGTCTCTCTCTCTCCCTCTCCCTTCCTCTCTCTGAAATCAATAAAGATATATTTTTAAAAAAACAAAACCGTAATAGTATTAATCCCATCAGTAAATATTAGCCCTGCACTTTCACATAGGTTAAAGCTTTTTCTCTTTGGTAAAGGGAAATGATTCTAAAGACGATTCCCTCCTTTTGAGATTCGATGGAGTAGGGAGATGTAGAAATAAGTCACAGGACTCTTTCCAGAAGTATTGAGGAGCACCTACTATCTTGTGATTTGTTTGAAGTCTCAATCCAAGTTTAAAACTTAAAACCAAAAAAGCTAGCCTGAACCCCTTAGAACCTGCATCTAGCCCGTAGCCGGGGCCGCCCCCACTGAAACCCGCCGCGCCTGCGGAGCGGCCCGGGTCGCTCTTGCACCTGCGGGGTCTGCCCCAGACCCGGAGGAACAAGGGGCTGTAGACTGTGGTTGGAACTGGGGGTCGGGGGAAGGAGCACAGAGGAAAAGAGGTTGGGACAGCGAAAAAAACCTCCCCAGACTTACCGTGTCCCTAAAGGGCCAGACCCAGGAGGTGGGTGGTTAGGTCCAGACCCCGGAAAGTGTTATTACTACAGGGAAAGAAGAATCCGGAGGAGCGGGTAGACGGGCCTCGGGCCGCCTCCTGCCTGCCCCTCCCGGCCGGTGGCGGGTGTTCGGGAGGAGGCATCGGAGTACTGGGGTCATTGATTCACCGGGGCTGCCGAAGCAGTCCACCTAAATTAAACAACGTAAAGCGCCGTAGTTGTGATAGCAGACAGTTTAGGACTTTTCCAGTTATAGTTGTACATGACAGTAAATATGACCTTAATTTTTTTAAGGCTTCAGAAAACTCTCTTTTCAACACTGTGTGCTGAAGGCACCCAGTTTTTCTTGCTGATCGAAATGACTTTTAAAGTCACAGCAGAACTTGCATTTTTAAAGGAAAATCTCAGTTTCTTGAGTGCTAATTTTCAACCTTAAACACAATCTGTAATCTTTTTACGTAAGAAAAGAGCAGGGAACATTTATTTCTTAGTATTTTAAGTTTGAACAGCTTTACCTTTCATTTCTCAAGAATCACAGGAAACATATTGTTAATAGAGAATTTTAAGGGTAATGTACCATTGGCTACTGTAATTTTGGCTGAGGTGCTGTGATGTTTAACTGAGGGTGGCTGTTTTCCAGAATGGAATCACTAGTTCCACTTGTGCAGAGTTTGAAAAAACGGATGGACGTGCCAGACTATGAAATGGTAAATATTTTATACTGAAGTAAAAAACTGACCCTTTCCAAAGGCATTTTTCTGAATAGAAAAATGTGCTTTTTGTTAAGGTAGGTCACTTTTATTTGTGCTCCTGGCAAGTGTGAATGAATTATTTTTTCTAAAAAAGTGATGGAAAAACAATATATGACTTTTAGAATCCATTTTCTAGGAAAAATGTACTTCTTTTCCCAACTTTATCTATGAAGCAAAAGTGCTGTGGCTTTTTTTGGGGGGGCTAGGGGGGTCAGATTTCTTCCCAGAGAAAAAAATACAATTTCTAAAGCTATTCATTCTTTTTTGATTCATTTTTTTACCCCTTCCCTACTTCTTTCCTCACTCTGAAAACTTTTCTGATTATAAAAACCAAACCAGGAAGGCACTCTGGTGATTGCACCGTAACTGTATCAACCGTGTGACTGACTGTTGCCAACAGTGATCCGAATTCTGTGGCAAAGAGAATGCTGTTAGTGATGACCCTATTATTTTTATATCATTCTGCAGTCTTTGAAGCATACATTTTCCCATTTGAAGTTCACACACCTTTTCTTAGATTTTGTACCAGAGCTGAGACCTCCAGCCTTCTGTTCTTTTACTTCTGGTGCTGCTTGTACTTCAATATTTGCTTTAATATTTTATTTAGTCATGGAAGACAGTCAGGCCACCTCGTTTGAACTGAAGTTTACATATTGGTTTAATGCTAACCTTATAAGAATGAAAAAATACCAGCAAAAGAATGTTTTGGTTAAACCATGGCTAATACAAGACTCACCTTTTTTTTTTACATTCAGTATTATTCTGTATTGGTTTCCAGTGCACAGCATAGTAGTGAGACAATCATATACTTTACAAAGTGTTTCCCCCAATATTTCTAGTACCCACCTGGCACCTATACTTAGTGATCGTTCTTTTTAATGGCAATTATTAAGAATTAAAGAGGTCTGAGACACTTAGCGTTTAAAAATGCTTTGAGCTCGTGTGATGTTAATGAATGCGTCTTCATGGATGTTTGCTTTAATTGTTCCAGTGCATCTGGGTTTTCTGATGGTTGGGAGGGTTTTGTTGAGAGAGGGGATGTTATTGGCTCGATTGCAGATTCTATAATCAAATATGGTGTGCCTGTAGCTGCAGGGTTAGACATGAAGTGTTTTAATCATGTTAGTAGAAAAGATCATGCAGAGTCTGTCATTTTACTACATTGACGGATCATTGCCAGTTAAATCTTTTATGTTGGTCCAGAGCCTCCAGTAAAATAGCAGATTAGTGTTTTTCCATGCTTAGCGCTTGTGTACACGGGGCAAAACTGAGACCCAGTTTTCAGAACTTTAAAGCAGAAGCTGCAAAATGCCAGCCTGTGAGNCTGTGTACACGGGGCAAAACTGTGACATATCTGAGACCCAGTTTTCAGAACTTTAAAGCAGAAGCTGCAAAATGCCAGCCTGTGAGCCACTTCCCGCTTTCAGGCATATTTAGCTTAGAGCCAGTTGTTGCATTTAAAACACATGTATAGAAATCAGCAGTACGCACTTACACATAAGGATACACAGAAACTGGGAACAGGGTTAAATAAGATAGGAACACATCCCCTGTATCCTCTTAAAGCTTTGAATGTAGTACTAAGTGCATATCAGCTTTTAGAATCTATGTGAAGTGGATAATTTGCTAGAAAATGTAAATTGTCAGAAAAACTCAAGTAAAGACAGAAACTGAATGAATCTGTAATCATGAAATAAATTTTTAAAGTCATTAAAGAATTATTTATAGAAAAGGCATCAGGCCCAAACAGGTATATAGGCCGGTTCTTCCAAACTTGAGAGAATAGATAACTTCTATGGCACAGAAATTATTAAGGAAAGAATAATCCCAATTCACAAGATTTGTCAGCAAGACTATTAATGGTTAAAGAATCTTCTAAAAACAACAAAGCCGTATAGCGTAATTTTTAATATCTTCCTTTCAGGTTCACCAGGCGGGTCTAACCTGTGACTATGCAGAACTTCCTCACCATGTCAGCACAGAACAGGAAATCGAGTGTCATATGCAGTCTGTATATTATTTACTGAAAAACCTACCAAAACCTACCCTTGTGACAATTGCAAGGTAAGTGTGGTAGCTTGAACAGTGGCCCGTCAAAGATGTCCATGTCCTAATCTTAGGAATTTGTGAATATGTTGGTTTATACTCATGACTTTATAGCTGTTAATTAACTCAAGGATCTTAAAATGAGAGAGTTACCCTGGATTATCTGTGTGGGCCCAGTGTAATCACAGGGGTCCATACGGAAGGCAGGAGGGTCAGAATCAGGTTGGAAGGTGCTAGGATACTGGCTTTGAAGATGGAGATGGGCCACAAGCTAAGGAATCAATGCAGGCAGCCTGTAGAAGGTGGAAAGGCAAGAAAACAGATTCTTTCCCAGAGCCTAGAGAGGAAACGCAGCCCTGCTGGCACCTTTATTTTAGGACTGCTGACCTCCAACAAAACTATAATAAATGTGTGCCTTTAAGCTTCTGTGTTTGTGGCAATTTATTATAGCAGCAGTCGGAAATTAATACAGTCTCTGTAGATGAATCTGATGATTACTAATACAGTAATTCTCAGTTTTTTACCTTCTCAGCTCAAATTTTAGATGTATTTTCTCTTTCCTATTAGTAATGGTCGGCAAACAACCTGTTACTTTGTCTTTGAAGATGGTGATATTCAAATAAACACAAGAATTCTGATTTCTGTGTCCTACAGAGGAATATTTAGCTTCTATCATATTTTAAATTTAAACTACTAATGTGCTGAATAGTTACAACAATTTAATGAAACTTTCTTTTCTGTGTTGTTCTTTGGGCTGGTTTTATGTAGAATTGTTAGATTCTAAAAATAAGTGCTTTAAATGCTCCAATAGTTTTCTTTATGACAAGCATTTTGTAACATGTTTTACCTTCCTGCAACAAAATTAATAGATAATCTAGCTTATGTACATACATAATTTTAAAATATATAGATATTTACATAATATATAGATAATAGAATTGCCTTAGTCCATTCAGGCCGCAATAGCAAAAATATCATAGACCTATTGCTTTATAAACAACAGAAATTTATGTTTCACAGTCCTGGGGGCTGGAAAGTCCAAGATGAAGGGGTCAGTAGATTCAGTGTCGTGGTGAGTTACCTGGTTCCTAATTCATAGACAGCTGTCCTCTCCCTGTCACCTCACGTGGTGGAAGGGGGCGGTGAAGGAGCTCTCTGGGCACTAACCTCATTTATGAGGAGCCGACCCTCATGCCCTAATCACCTCCAGTGGCCTCACCTCCAGGTACGATCACATCGGGGATTAGGTTCCAACATGTGAATTTTGTGGGTCGAGGGGAAGTACACAAACATTTAGTCTATAGCGATAACCTACTTACACATAATTTAAATATATATGTTTATATATGTATACACACAAAAATATTGTAACATAAAGGAGAAACGAAAGTAATTGATAAAAGTAATATGTATTAAAAGCCACACTAGACTTGCACCTTTACAAAGAATCACTAAATGTAATAGTTACAAATGCAGACATATGCTCGCACTTGTTTGCGCCAAATACCATGAATAGCACTGCCATAGTGACATGGTTTTTCTAGCCGGAACAGCCTCTTGGTAAAGTTCTGAACTTAAGTCCAGTCTTCCCTCAATTAACAGAGTAATTCGTGTCATTTCTGAAAAATTTAGTGCATATTGAACCATTTTCAAACATACTTTGTTCATAGGTAAAAGAGTGTTAAATTGTAGGTTCAGAAGGTTAAAAATAGGACACAGGTTGTTCACTGAGTGCTCTGTGGACTTCAGAAAGTATGCCGGACACAGGACAGTCGCTCATGTTCGTATTGCAGGACTGTCCTGCATGTTGTAAGCTTTCTTGCAGCCCTGCCCTCTTTCTTCAGCCCCCTGGTTGTGATTTGACAATAAAAAAAATGTACCTACAGAACTTAAGAGCTCCCTTTTGGGTACTCCCATCAAGAACCACTCTAATAGTGTTAAAGAGGCCATAAATTTTTTTAAAGCATTTAAATACCCCTTATTTGTCCTAAATTAATCTTTTCTATATGATACTTTTTAAAATTAGGTCTTTATATGTATATGTTGAACAGTATTTAATAATTTAAAATTGTTCTATATTTAACACATTCATTATATGTTAAATATTTACATCAAGCCCCAAAGATAACCTAATCACCAGAGAATGGAATGAGTTTATCAGAAGTCTTACAGATTATTTGTTTACTTCTAAAATACTTATGATAGGGAGTAGGCTAGATAACTAAGCCCATTTCTGTCTATAAAAGTTTCTGTGCCACTGTCCCCAGTCCATCCCTCTAAGTGGCTTCCCCACCCCAGTTCAGAACCAGGAGACACTGATCAACTCATTTCAGGTCTTAGTCTAGCTCGTTGTCAGTGATGTCATAACTGGCCATTCAAGTTGTTGGTGATTCTAGGAAGACTCCCAAAATGTCGATTGCTGTCCCACCACACTTGGCTCTTCGCTCAGTACTTACTCCCTAGGAAACTGATCCCTGCACCAGCACGTCCCCACGGTTCATTCAGGACGGTCCTGTGCACTTGTGTAGTTAACTCATTGTGTTCAGAAGCAGAACCCTCTTATCAGTTGGAAATTCTCTTCCCTCCTAATTTCCAACCCTAATATACACGTAAAAGAAGGGAAAGGATGCCAGTGCCCTCAGGATCCCCAGGCAGCACCTCCCTTTCAGGGAACCCACAGTCTAGCTGTTACGCACGGAGGCTTTGAAGATGGGCCCTGTGGTTTCAGATCCCGTCACCAGCATTTACTTACTCGCTGCTCTGTGGCCAGTGCAGGTTAATCTTTCTGGTTTCCGATTCCTTTAAAGGGAAGGTAAATGTGCCTGTTTCACAGGTGGCTGAGAAGATTAAAGAACATAATTTGTGTCATGTGCCTGACACAAATAAACATTTAATAGCTTTCAGGGGCTGTTATTCCAAATTTCAGCACACATTTATTTCTATTTTACATGGAAATCAACACATGAAGGCTTTTTGTCACTGCACAGTATGATCTCATCCTATTTATGTGTGTGTTTTCTTTCTCTTCTTGGTTCCAGGTCAAGTCTGGATGATTACTGCCCTTCTGAGCAAGTTGACAGTATTCAGGAGAAAGTCCTCAATGTGCTCCGCTCCCTCTATGGGACTCTAGACCTCCACCTGGTGTATTCAGAGTCCGCTCCATCTTGAAACAGCAAAACACGAGGCTCCTATTACATCTCGATGTAGTAACAGGGTTTTCAGTAACTTATTTGTAAATGAGTCTTCCAGAGGACACTTTGTTTTTACATTAAGTTTGACTTAAAATCTTTCGGGTATCGTCAGTTGTTGAATGATGGCAATTTTGTTGGCATCAAGTCTACCCCTTTGGGTTTTCTTTGTGTAATTATCCTCACTTTTATGAGGGTGTTTTTCCCCCCTTTCTCCCTGAGATCAGTTGGACTGTATGACATTCATTCATTCATTGATTATTCACTCAACTAACTTTTATTGAGCACTTACACGTGCCAGACACAGTTAAATGATGGGTATATGGTAATGAGCAGAACAGACAAGGCCCTGCCCTCTGAGGGACAGCTGAGAAACTAATTATGGAAGGACAACCACAAACATGTCTTAGGCATGCTCTAGTTCTCAGGGCACCCTGGCCTTATGGGAAAGTAACATTCTCAGAAGCTACTAGCAAAATAATAACAATAAACAAACTTGCCAGTCCATGGAAATGTTGCAGAAGTCGACCTCTCTGAGACTGTTGGTTCTGTAGCCTAGCTCTTGCTAAAAATGCTCTCAGATTGTTGGTATTGAGGAGGTCTAATTGAGTAAACTCAACCAAACAAAAATTGACCCTGGTTTGCTAATCAGAAAAGCCCTTCTGGGGTTTTGTGCCTCAGTGGCAGTCAGTGTGAAAACTGATTATCATTATAGTTCATAAGAGCCACTTTATTGGCAGTCTGGGTAGATACTTTTTCAAATAAACCAGTTCTTTATGTAAATAGTAGGGGAAAAAGTTAACTCCCTAATTCTGGCCTACCGTTAAATACTGCCTTCTAGCAGCCTCCCATGAAAAGGAGACCCTGCCCAACTCAGTCTTAATCATGGGACTTTTCATTTATGTAATTGGCCAGAGTCTTTCCCCTTTTCAGTATCCTTCATGTTCAGAAATCATTTTCAACTTTATTGCTGAAAGTATGACAGATGTCGTCCCCCCCCCGACTTTTTTTTTTTCATTTTTAACTACCTACTTAATTTCTTTTCCTTTAAAAGGTAGGATGACATTTAAAGAAAAAATAATTCATTATTCCTGTCCTACCACGGCAGTTGTTGTCATTTTTGCATGTAACTTTCAGGCCTTGACCACACGTGTACCTGTTGAGTTGCATGTGACTGAAATTACAGTGTTAGGTCCCACTCACTTAGGGCTGATAACCAAGGGCACGTTACCATCACTGCGCACTAGATGGCACCAGATCCCATTTTTCCAGTGATCCTTTTTTCTGACGAATTTTTCTTGTCACCAGGTTGATTTCCAAGTCTGATAAATGTGAATGCTTATTTCTGTTGTGAAAAGCAGAGCAAACTGATTTAACTTTCCATTTTGATGGAACATTAGGTGCCAAAAAGTTTTCATTTCTCTAACATCAGAATTGCAAAACAGTGCTATTTATTTTTAAAATTTTATTAAGAGTTCTGTAAATAGATGTTACTTTTATGAGTAAATTAACTTTGTGTGCTAAGAGAAATAAAAAGGTGTGTATTGAGGTTTTAAAGATTGAAAACCAAACCATAGCACTAATTAATTGTGTGTCATCTCTGTGTTCATAGCATTGGTCTTATGGGTCTGGTTTAGCTAGTAAGTCACTTACTACAATTCCCATGAGCCAATGTGACTCATCATTGTTTTAGCTCAGGTAGAGTAAAAGAGCATCAGTTTCCTCTTTAGGAACACTTGGATTGCTTAGTTTCATGCTCTGTAAAGAGTAAAATTCAGCCCCTGTTGTTGACTAGAACAAACTTAGTAAATTGTGCCTCTGTATTTCAGATTGGAAGATATTTAATTTATCAAGACATCCTTCATACGTGTTCTAAGCACCAGTGAGAATTAGACACGAATATCACCTGAAGCATGGGCTTTTGAGAAACGTTGACTTCAGTGTAAGCATGGGCCCCATAGCTTTGATATCTCTAGGTGATCTAGGTTCTCAAGGAGCCCTTGGTAAAAGTCCTTCATTCTTTATATGATATTTTCTCCAAATATCATATATTTTCATATATTTTATAATTTATATTTGGTGGTTGTTTGTATAGGAAGTCTACTAGGACGCTGTGTTGGCTGTCTTCGCATGATGTCAAATAAAAATAAAACACCGGCCTGACATCCAAGAAAAGCACTTACAAGCAAAACAACTCTTTTAGTTTTAAAATATCTTTTTTTCTGCTTTGCAGTTAAGGGATTAGCTCTACTATGTACCAAATGCATTATAAAGTTATATTAATTAAAACAGTGCATTACTAGCACGTGAGCAGGCAAACAAATGGAACATAATAGTGTCCAGATATGGACCTAAGTCAGAGTAAGGATATCTGGTTTAAGAGGAAAAAATAAAAAACTAATGACTCATATAAAATGAAAGATTATTTCTCATTTTCATAAAGTTCAACAAACCGTGTTTCTGCTCGTCGGGCTCTCCTCCGAGCAAGGGTGCTGGGACTCACCTCCTTGCATCTTCAGCTCTGCCATCCTCAGTACGTGTCGTCCCAGGTCTTTCTGGAGGACGTCGCAGTTCCACCCATCAGGAGGCAAAGAGGGTGGGGGTCCCTGGCAGAGGCTTTTATGGGCCCGCCCGTCACTCCTGACTGCTGCGGAAGCTGGGAAACTACCCTGTTGTGTGTGTCCAGGAAGAAGAGGGAACAGGTTTGGTGAATACGTAGCATTTTCTCCCACGAGAACCAAATTCATACTGGAATTTAATATATAATCAGGGTGGCATTTATATCAATGGGGAAAGATGAATTATACCATAAATGATACTGGGGAACTAGATGGCTTTTTCAAAACAAGTTGGATCCCCAATTCACTCCTTACACAAAATAAATTACAAGTGAATCAAATTTATTTGTTTTTTAATGTTTTAATTGGTTTTTAGAGAGGAAGGGAGAGGGAGAGAGAAACATCGATGGGTTGCCTCCCACATGCACCCCAATGGGATCAAACCCGAAACCTGGGTGTGTGCCCTGCCTGGGAGTCGAACCCTCCACCTTCTGGTGTACAGATCGGAGCTCCTACCAACCAAACCCCACCGGCCAGGGCACAGTTGAGTCAAATGAAAAGAGAAGACCAGAACTATTAGGAACAGGAGAAAAGGGAAGGCCTTTTATACATAAGCAGGCCTGCCTGGAGGAGTCCAGGACGTGCAGGCCGAGACTGGTGCATCCGCCCACATTCAGCCAGCTCGGGTGTCACTGAGAGCGCGGCACCCGCCCTGGCAGTGCCCTCGGTGTCCCCTGCAGCTCTGGCTTTTCTAGTTTTATATTCTGAGGCTAATGCTCAGTACGGTCGGCCCTCCTGCTGCCGGAGGGGCGAGTCTAATTAAAGCTGGCCATGAGCTCCTGGCTTCCGCGACAAGCCGTGAGTTCGTCGTTGGCCGACCTGGTGCCCCAACCACTCTCCTCAAGGCTCCCCGGAGAGTTAACAGAAGCCGGCCTCCTCCGCAATCCTCCTAACTGCGAAAACCCCACCACTTTCAAGAGCCCTGCCTCCTCCCTAGCCCAGCCCCTTGTACCCAACCCCAGGTGAGATCCTAGTGACCTTGGCGCTGGAGGCCACCAGGGGTTAGCACTGCCCCCGCTTCCATCAGCAAGGAGNTCCTCCGCAATCCTAACTGCCAAAACCCCACCACTTTCAAGAGCCCTGCCTCCTCCCTAGCCCAGCCCCTTGTACCCAACCCCAGGTGAGATCCTAGTGACCTTGGCGCTGGAGGCCACCAGGGGTTAGCACTGCCCCCGCTTCCATCAGCAAGGAGGCGCCTGTTGGCCGCGGCCTGGACTGAGCCAGTCTGCAGTCCCTCCTTGAGGGCCACCTTTCTACAGCCATCCCCGGTGCCAGCTAGTTTAGGTCCCCTAAAAGCAGGCCCCGAGGCAAGGATTTGGCTGCGTGTAGTTCACCTGCGAGGTGACAGGAAGTGGGGGAGCGGAGAAAGGTGGGGGGCAGAGACTCAGTAAAGGCGGGTCAAAGAGAAGGTAACGCCGAAGCCAACCGGAGCTCCATCCCGCCCGAGGACCGTGGGGCTGCCGGCCGAGGGCTGGGGCGCCTGGCCTGCTTACCCCCGTTTCCCATTCCTTTTTGGTCGGGAATTGCTCCGAGCCTGATACCCTATTACTTCCCAGCCACCCCGGGAAGCCCGCCCTTGCCTGAGCGGGGCAAGTTCCGTGACACCCCAAAACGATCGGGGGGAGGAGCAGGAAGGCCAGGCACAGGCTGGATGCGGTCGGCACGAGCAGCCCCGTCCTCTGTGGGCAGGACACCAAGAGCACCCGCTGCGGGAGGAACGAGATGGCAGCCCTGTCCCTGTCCCTGTCCCTGTCCCTGTCCCTGTCCCTGTCCCTCCCGGGCGACCTCACGCAGCGCGGCGTTGCCCACGGCTCAGGAAGCCGCAGCTGCTGGGCTTGCGGGGACCGCGCACCGGCCCGGCCTCTGCGGGGGGCAGTCGGATGGTGGCTGTCCATAGTGAAGATGCGCATCCTTTTCCATATTCACCGTCTGAGACAGTGGCCCCTAGCCACGTGTGCCTGCTTAAATTTACAGTTAAATTAATTTTTATTTTCTTTTATTTAAACTTCACTTCCTCGGTCTCAGCAGGCACAGCTCAGGGGCTCTCCAGCCACACGTGGCCTGTGGCTGCCCTCCCTGACAGCACAGGCGCAGGAAACTTCCATTGCTGCGGAAGGTCCCGGTGAATGCTGTCTGGCGGCCCAGCACCTTTAATCTTCCTCGCCCAAGAGCGGTCTCCAAGCAGCACTATCAGCATCACCTGGGAGCATGTCAGAAATGCAGAATCTCGGGCTCCTTCCAAGAACTAGGGAACCCACGGCGCATTGCAGCAAGATCCCTGGCCACGCGCACGCACAGGAAGGTTTCAAAGCGCTGCGCTGGTCCCCGGTGACATCGGCATCATCGCCAGGCCCGAGAAGCTCCTTCAGCTCTTCTTCGCCCGCACCTGGCGAAGGTGTCCCTTGAACAACTCATGTACTTAAGGGTGGAATTGATTTCTTTTAAAGGTAAAGAAACTTAAACAGGTTTACTAATTATTCCTAAAAGATGGCTTCGCAGTTGCAAGGTATTATACATGAGACACTCAGAAGTGAACACGGTTAAGCGGTGAGGTTGAGTAGATAACAAACAGTATATGGGTACTTGGCTCAGAATAAAATTTCCAGTAACGGCATCACATACAAAATTAACACTGGGCCCTCTCGAAAATTTAGATAGAATGGAAAATGACGTCCTCTTGAAATGTGTTAGAAGATTCAAAAAGTAATGACGAAACCACTGATCCAGGTGTTTCTGCCACCCAACAATTTTTTGCAAAAGGCTTACCTTTCGCAAACTTGCGCGCTGCAAATCACAGGGCTTACGGGGAAGTGCTGAAGCAGGTCACTGAGAGCCTGTGCAGTTCTGGAGCAAGACATTTTCTTAAAGGCATAAGTCAGTGTGAAATACTGGCATAGTAACATGTGATAAATTCAACTCCTACTGAAGAAATACTACAATAGGATTAGAATCTTACCCTTAAAAAAAAAATGCTGAAAGTCGCTTAATGGAAGGAGGTATAGAAAATGGGTGGGACTCCTGGGATATGGCAACACAAACAAAATGCACAAAGATGGTGAAAACTGAGTCTTAAGTTCATCCAAGACAGAGCACGTAACCAAGTTGAGCCAAATGGAAGAAGAGGGTGTGGGAAAAAAAAAAAAAGCAAGGTACCAAAGATTATCTTTAGTACGTTCCCCTTCACTGAAACAGGAAGGTCATATAAGAAAATGCACAAAGAGGAGGGGGGATGGCGACAGGGAGGGAGCGACGCTTCTCTGACTGTCCTTCCCGTGTAGCTCGGACTGAGATTCAGAGATCTGCCTCACACATCCAAAAAATAAATTATTAAAACCAGTCAGGATGGGAGGAGAACCCAAAATGGGATACAAACAGTAACAAATTAGCAAATTAAATATACTACAAATACACAATAACTCACCTGAGTATCTTTGGGAAACAGTATATTCACTGGATACTGAAAGGCTAAAGGCAAAAAGAACTGTTTCCAGTGACTATACACTAGTAAATCTGTTTCTCAGAGGGGCGTGGGAAATTCCAGAAATACACTAATACTGAAGGAATAAGTGAATGCATTGTGCATAGGGCCAGGTTTCTCACTCTCAGAGAAACATTACACATGAGGAAGGAGGGTGGCTAGAAGGAACCTGTGGTGTTCCGTTGGAATCAACAGTATCGGTATTAAAATCATTGGTATTTAATATATATCTAGTACAGGCCCCGGTACATTTAGATGTGTGCGTACGTGTGGGTTGGTATAATACATACATTTCCTCACTCCTTCTGCTAAGAAGACCTAGAAGCAGTGGCACTCTGGTGACAGTGAGCACATCTAGAACCTAGATCTTGGATTCTAAACCTCATTCTCTGGTAAAGGGAGTCAGGTCTACTTTGGAAAAATACAAGATGACCATGGAACGGCCTATTGTGCCAGAAAACAAGAAGTGCTTGAGGTACTTGGGAAAGAATGGGAACACGTCAGAGAAACTCAGGAACCAACGCGAAGGAGTTTCCAATAGACAAAGCGGAAACAATTGAGCAGAAAAATTAATAGTAATAGTATTGGATATGAACTCAGAGTAAAATAAATGTTCATGAGTCCTTACTGATGTAAATAATGGAATGAATGAATGAATGAATGAATAAATTAAATAAATAAATAAATAATAAATGAAACTGTATCTCTCCCTTACCAAAAAATTCCAGCTAATAAACATAGAAGGAATGGGAGAAATCAGTAGGCAGACATTCCCACAATAATTGTTGCAAGCCTAATCAATGGATGGATGCTAAAATCAGTTGTGTTTGAGGAGAAATAGGGTATTTCATAGTCCCAAAGTGTCTCTTTGAGATATTTGGCAATTACATAGAGGAAAATTATAACTTTATCGTGGAGAAGCCTGCAGACTCCACCTCATATATTTGATTAAGGGCTAATATCCAAAATATGTAAATAATTCCTGCAACACAGTAGCAAAAAAACCCACAACAATCCAATTCAAAAATGGGGAGAAGTCACGAAAAGGCATTTCTCTGAAGAAAATATGCAGCTAACTGGTAAGCACATGAAAAGATGCTGGACATTGTTAGTCTTCAGAGAAATGCAAATAAAAACCACAGTAAGATACCACTTCACACTCATTAGCATGGCTATGATTTAAAAAAACAAAGAACAACACTCCCCCCACCCAAAAAAAAAAGAAAATACCAGATGTTGGCAAGGCTCTGGAGAAGCTGGAGCCCTCGGGTATTGCTGGTGGGAGTGGTGGAAGCAGAACCTGGCCAGCAAATGACCAG